TTAAATGGAATTCTTTAATATTTGCAAATGCAATCGCCGTTTCGGGGGGTTTTGAAATCGTACCAACGATATGGGTCACCGGAAGTTGGCTGAATTATCCAGCGTAGGAACGAGCTTATGTTCCAGGACACGAACCAAGTCCGACCTTGCACCAGTAACCCACATAATGCCCGGTGAGGTAACACCGTCCTTCGAATATCGATAATGCCTCGTACAGAGAGAGGTGAACCCGCTATTCTTTATCCTAAAAATTCTCTCCGTCTAGTTTGCTGTTGCAAAGTTCAACAGTCAATATTTGTCTCATTATACCCTGTTCACCGAGCTCTGCGCCATTGCCAAGGGAGAGCCGAGACCAGATTCCGGCCTATCCCTACATAATAAAACTCTACCACCGAGTCTGTTGCATAAAATAAATACGTCGGATCGTGTGTCACTACTTTATGAAAAAGAATCTACAAAGGACGATAAATTGTTAAGTAAATATATGAGTCTGGACTGGTTCCACGTGCGAGACCTTGAACTCCCTAAACCCGGGAGTTGTGCAATCCGGCCAGGAGCAGCCCAAGGCCCGCCTAGAACAGCCCTGGACCAGTCCTTGAAATCCCGGCCAAAGCTTTTCGCAACTTCATTTCAAACAAACTTCCATTCGAAGACGGTCCTTAAAACTGTTTACCAATCTCCATTGTTCTATCGTTACGATTTTAATAACTTTTCTTAGGGATTGCAAACGTTTCAGTTCTTCTAATTTTATTTAATTGTTTCAGGTGAAAAAGTGCTTGCATGGTGTCCACGCTGCTGTTCTGCGCCGGGACGGAGAAGCGGCAACGTGAGTCTTTGTTTCATCTTTCAATTCGACTATTCGTCGATTATAAATACGTGCGAGGCGCAGATTGCATTTTTTTCAATAGTTGGATTTTTGTTCACGCTCCGTTAAATCGAACCTCCTAGCTAGCTCTCAATCCGAAGAGCTAGTCGAGCGTGTCACATCCAGCCGGATTCTATTAACGCGTTCGATTAAATTCAGTTGATTTTGTAAGGAACGGGGTCGTGTACTCTAACGTTTTATCTACGCCCAGATACCAACCGGATCAATCGTCTATTTTTATTTGAAAACCAGTTCGTATCAACCTCACACGATGTATCGATATCGTTTACATATAAAAGGCAAATCAGAAAATTGTATCGTGATAAGAAGAAAAAGATACGCATTTCTCTGTTTTGTATAAAAATTGTATCAATCATTTTAACAGGAATTCTTATTTGAATTTATAGAAGTTCTGCAGGAAATTCGTTTAGCTTCTTCTGTCTGTTATTAATTACTTAAAAGGAAGCTTGTAGGAAACTGTTAGAAATGACGAGTGTGAAAACTGAGATCATTTTTCAACCGTTCTCAGTCTTCCTCAATTTCTCTCGACAGTCTCCCCATTATCGAATATCTCACGTTCATTGAATTTACCGTCTGTCGTCCACGGTTTCATCCATTTTTTAACCATCCCCCGTCAAATCGAATTGAATAAAAACAGCAGATGTACTTGGAGTTCACGTTTATACTTTGAAAGGTTCACACGAATGTCCATCATTATTCATTTGCATATTTTTCTATGTAGAATTTTGTACAATTTTCTTGTACACAGGAATAATTTGATATTTTTAATTTGTAGATTCATTAATTTTGGTATAAAGGAACAGGATATCGCGTCCGTTTCATTGGCTTCCCTGGCGAAGTTTGCTCAGAGAGCGTCACATGAAAGCTTAAAGAAGAAGTTGCGCAAGTTTTCGTGCTAATTGACTGGCGGAGCCTGTATGGCAGAGCCCGTAATTGAAATCCCTGAAACGAAAATTACTGCTTTTCACGTAGCTCATTCCCTCTTCTTTGATATTTGCATTCAGCAGATTGATCGGTCGCTACTTCTAATTGCCCACGGTTTCTGTTAAAGTACGTCAGTTTTCGGCGAGTATTTAATTTTTACTTCCGCGGGGGAAGTGAATACAGTTAGTTCGGCTCATTTTAATAATCAGTTGGATTAACACGACTGAACTTACGATTAGCACCACTGCAAAGGGCTCATTTGCATAAAGAGTAATTCAATTGTCCCTCGGTAACTCTACCATAACTACTTTAATTCATTTCTGAATTCATTAAAATTGAATATTCAATGAATTTCAAGGAAGTATAGCATTCTTTTTTTTGTTTGTAATGCAATAGCTTCAAGGTTGTAGGAGTTAAAGGATATCTACAAGAAAGGTCCTATGCAATTTTCCCGTATCTCTCACGGTTTAGAAGTTATTAGCAAAAAACGAAATTTTCGCAAAATTTGAAGGGGTACCCCTTAGGAAAAATCTCAAAAAAATCGAAAATTTTTTTTTCTCAAAATATCGAATATGGGCTTCGTATATACCCTCTACATGCTTAAATAATCGACGAAAACGTTGTCATTGATCGATCTAAACGAGCTACGTGCAAATTTCGACTCTTCCAAGTTGTCACCTTCGAAACGAGTCGATTCATATTTGATTGGCGAGATGTACGTTTCTTTATTCAAAGAAACGACTTGCTGGGTGTTGGGTTGAAAGTTTGAAGATGCAGAAAATGGGGTCACTGTATATAATACATACACCGATAAATACATATATATTACCGCGTATACTGACCGAAAAGCTAAGGATTATGGATAGACACTTTAGAAATTGACGCCGCTGTACACGGAAACTCAATATATCTTTCGTCCACTGGTCAGAGGCTCTGGCTTTTCTATACGTCCGACCGATATAATCGAGATTACCTCCGAGTCGGACCATCCAGAACAAACGCCCGTTTCTCAAACTACTTTTACAGCTCACGTTTTATGATATTACAAACGCCCTCGATTCCCAGTATAAAAATTTGCATGTCCTTCATGAATAAAAAAAAAGTAATCGAAACGTTCGTTGAAATAATATTCAAGGATTAATTAAATCGATTTTATCTGTTCAGAATAGATGAAATGCATGCTCGGTTTTAATGGCAATTGGGGAAGACACGTTATACGTACACGTGTATTTCATATTATTTTATGGCTCGTCCATCGTTGCCCTGTTTTCCTGCAAGTTGAAGAGAGATTTACGGCCCTCAGAATTTATCTGAATGCCCCTCGCGTTCTTATCCCCATTTCCTGCTATTCTTCAAAGAACGTCCTTTTATCGCTTCACTTCAAAAATCCTATACACTCGACTCCCACAATTCTGTGGGTCATCATGCAACCATAATAGTGCATAGGAAAGTAAAATGATTGTTAAAAATTTTGTAATATGTTCAGTCTAATACGAATTAATTTGTAGATTTAATCGTTGAGGATCAGCTCGTTTCTTATCGAGTCTTTGTATCTCCCAATTGCATCAGGACGTTGGTAGCAAAGTAATATATCAGTGGAGTCGATTTCTTCTGTAGAAAGGAGCTTCCTTTCTTCGCTTTTTCATTTCCAAGATCACCTATTATCGCGAGAAACCCGCTGGCTAAGCGTTACTTCCTTTATTGCCAGACCACAGATTGAGTAGTACTACTGGCGTCAAGTAGAACCGTCCGTTCACGATCAGACAGAACCGAGGCAAAACAACCGCTCCCAAATTGTTTTATGGTCCATCGTTTGTTATAACAAATTAAGTTATTAATTGGAATTAAATTATAACAAATGTTTAATAGTTTTCTCTCGTTTCAGTGAACTTTGGATTCCACGAATCTTTGCTAATTAATCGATGGTCTTATCCAGACTGACGATGGTTAATGATCATTTATTAGAGACGTTTTGGATGGATTTTGAAACTTTGAGGGAGCATCGTTGTTGTCGTCGTCTTACAGGTTCCGGCTGATACCTTGTTGACGAAGTTTCTTGCTGGTATCAAACTGTAAACTTCGCTTTAATACGTTTTAACGAGTGGATAAAACTGCACATTTGCACGTATCCTCGACGATGATTCTTGAGTCCAGTAAAAATTTTACTCGTTTTTCTTTTATATTTGAACACGGAGCCAAGAGCGATGTGAATAAATACGAATTATATGTTTTTTTATAGTTCTATATTGGAGCTCGGCCGGTGTTACACGTCGGCTTGATTTAACGAGTGTGACACATCTTTTATGGGTCGGCCTAGGCTCGTTCGTTAGCGGCTGTTGGCCATTCTAGCTTTGAAGAAGATACTGACGAACGAGGGAGCAAGGGAAAACGGATAAAAGACCTACGGTATGAAAGTGGGCCTTCATTTTTCGCTCTTTTCCCTCCCCACCTCGAGAATCGTGCATTCTATCATAGGAACGTAGCCAGGCTTCTTCGTCTTCCTTATGGAATAAGAATGTTTCCCTTTGAGCTCGTTTTCTACCGAAACCATTGTTACCAGGTTCGGTTCGCTGAGAGAATTAGAAACGCTTGCCAACGTTTAATGCAACACTGATTTAATGCAGATCTCCGTCACTCGAATTCCTCCGTGGGCGTTGATATTACAATGAATCTTGTAAAACGGAGTAGGCTGTTAAATTCTAATTGGCCGCCAAGTGGGCGTGGGAGTAAATGTAAACAAGCGTTGAACGGGCAAAGTGCAAAGGGACAATAGAAATAAGTGGTCCAGTATCGGGAAACTGCAGTTTCGTTGAAAGAATTCAGGTGGGAATCGGAGACGTTGAAGTGCTCGTCGAGGAAGCGAACATGAAACGCTTGTCTAATCTCTAATTAATTCGAATGAATGCAACGTTGAAAGGACAGTAGGTCTACCGGTCGAGGAACTTTGTCGATTATCCCGGTTGTAAAGAACGATTGAAGAGTAAGGAGAGCAGGTGATAGCAGGTGAGAATCGGAAGGGGTTGAAGTAGCGATGTTAGAACTATCAGACCGTCTGTGGTGGTCCGGCCGCGGAGGCTGCGCGGAAAAATCGATAGCCAGCGTCGAGCAGCAGCAGCGACGACGACGGCGTCGTCGTCGACGGCGCGTGGTGGTGGTGGTGGTGGTTGCGAGTAGCGCTCTATCGCCCATGGTGCAGTCAACGTCGGGACCGGCTGCCCAGAAGGACCTCGTGCGTTCTCCACCTCTCCCCCCCTTCTGTCTCACCCTCGGAACCCTGAGGAACGTGCTCTCTCCTTCTTTTTTTTTTTTCTTTCTCCCCACGTAACCAAAGACTCGCGGTGCTCCGGTTTGCGAACGTGCAGTGGGTGCCAATCTGAATGGGGATAATCGCGTATGGTCCCTCTTACCCCCCCGGATTCTGTGCGCCAAATGTTGAATAATCGCGATTCAATGAAATAATCCGTGTTCTCATCATGGATCGTGTACTACTCGTTCGTGTGGACACTGGTGGAAGACATGCATGATATACGTTGTCCGTCGAGGACACTCGGTCTCTCCCTTTGGCAAACAGAATGGTAACAGGAATTCACTTAGAAAATTTTTCACTCGTGTGTAGTCGGAGGAGGATACGCCGATAGAGCGTGCCAGCAGAGGGATTCGAGGCAATTGCTACGCGCCTTTTCGAGGACAATGACCTCTCACCTTGCCTTCCTTCAATCTCTAATTTCGTCTCGCCCCGTCTTCCTTTCAAGGATAAATCATCTCCCTTCTATTTATTAATCTCTTCAGTTTATAGTCAGTCTTGATGTTCTGCTCAGTTGATGATATATCTGGGATGTTCCAGAGAGACAGTCGCGTGACACTTTGACCAGCCGCACGATACATACAATAAACTCATTAGCAGCGTTCCAATGTGGTTTTTGCCTCACTTCAATTCCTGTACGTTATTTGTACTTGTTTGTACAAGTTCACTAAATCTCTCTTTGACAAACAGTGCGTTCAAACAGGATCACGTTTGCAAATAAAAATCGAATCGAATTGTTTCACGTTTGGAGCTTCATTTCTTTGGAGTTTCTTCTAGTATTATTAATCAGTGGCTGAACGCATTCCAACGTGCTCAACGCTGATACACACTCTCTGCCATGCTCTCCCCTTCTTCTTCTTCCATCATTCTTTTACTCTGTGTCACTTCTCTGCCTCGAGAGCAATCCTCTACTCTCGTCGAGCCTACTCCACCGTATCCAGTATACAAGCTAACGCAAGAATGAAACGTTAAAGACATTACGAGTCAGCTACGTACAATTATTATTAGTCCTTACTCACTTGACCCCTGACTCGTTTCGACGGACCCCTACTATTTGTAACGTAGCCAGTTTTAATTTACATTTTTTATGTTCTCTCGATTAGAATCCTCAGACGATGGCAAGAGGCCTCTCGACAGACGCAGATTCCCTTTGAAACGTGGAGCCAGACAACGCTTTGAACAGTTAATCGACTCGAGGGCACCAGTAATTAGCGCGTGGATCTTAACTCGGTTTTTTTTATCAACGATTCGCGAAGGGACGACTTTATTTCTGCGATACATCCAATTACCCTCGTGGCGAAACGCTAACTGGATCTCCTTAGAATTGATCGAATCTTAATCTGGGTTTCTCCATGAATCCTCTTAATTCGTTGTTCCAAGGTTTATCGTTGCCTCATGAAATTCAGAAACGTTCTTATTTTCTGTCCCTTCTCATCTCCACTTGTTATAAATAATAAGCTTGCATCTTTCCTTGAAAGTTTTACCAACAACTTGTATCTCGTCATGGACTTTCTTATTTCGAGGTCGTATTTTGGGGTGAAAATAATAGTGGGAAAAATTGTTGTTGGCCAAACGTGACAGAAAGTTTTTCGTGGCTTTTCCTCGATTTCCTCGGGTCGATACTTTGTTATCGGGAAACAGCAGTCGTCCTGATAAAACGATAGCCGGATATCGAGATAAATTACGAAACAGCTCTGGTCCAACCAGGCCACGATGTTACCAAGGATCTATGGGAATAGGACCTCCCAAGCTCCTCTCCAAAAATAGGAAAATACAAATCTTTTTATATCCTTTCATTATTTTATTCTTATTTTTATCACAAAATGTGATAACATTTTTAAACATTGATTGATCAGATATTTTAATAAAGTCTGTGAAGGTTTCAAGTTTACAGAGCTACTGAGAAATCAGGCTGTCGAACATATTTACAAAGTTTACGAGGAGATTGGGACTAGGGATTAAGTTGTAGGACAGTAAAAAGAATTCGGGAGAGCCAAATCCTGTGTAGCACAAGTGTTCGTGATCCCAGAGAGAGAAAGAGAGAGAGAGGGAGATCCCCGCAGAGCAATAACGAGGAGCTTTTCATTTTGCACTTTTTAGGGCGAGCATTCAAACCGGAGAAAGAATCTGCCGGACTAATCCGCGATTTCTGTTTCACGTTAAACAGAGCAACAATGAAAATCTGAACCAAAGGGGTGACTCTGTCTGTACTGACTATAATTGCTATGATCGAATCGAGAAAGACTGAACGTAAGATTGATCGTCGAAAGGGAAGAATGATCGTTCCTTGGTCACGTTTTTAAAAATGAAATTTAGTGAGAAACAGTTGTACCCGACATGTGCATCGGACGTCGAATTTTCAATAACGTCCCGTCGGAGTGTTCGATGAACATGTGCAGTGCATCGGTGGGAATCAGAAAGACTGAAACGAAGTGTGAAACGTTTGTAAAGGTATCAATCCTCTTGAAGAAGAAATGGACACTGTTCGAAGGTCGCAGAGGCATGGAACGTGCCAGGTGAGGAAATTCGCAATATTTGCATGGTCTACGAAATTAGATAGACGTGTAGGCAGTTTCACAGGCAGCGGAGAAGTAACGATGAACCGCCTTGACCCGGTTCTACTTTTCTTTTTTATAACGCAGCTTCTTTTCTAGACGTAGGCAGAATCCCCACCTTTCTTGCCAAAAGCCTCGTCGACCTCTCGAGGGCGACGACCCGGTTATCTATTAACCAGAGATTTATTCCTCAGACTAAATGGAGGATTGTATAGTAAAAAAAAATATTACTACCGGTATGAATGAACGCGGGTCTCCTTTCATGCTGAAAACCGTTCACCCGTGTTCCTATTCATTGACAATCCAGTTGGCGACGTCCAATCCAACTAATTAATTACACTGAGTCAGACAAATTGAATCATTGATCGGGAAAACTCGTAGAAGCTTTTTATCAATTTCGTGTATAGCCAGGCGAAACGCTGTACCGTTTTTGTTACATAATAAATTAATTACACGATTATGTAGATAATTGATTACGAAAATGTGTAGAAAATCGATGGATATTGAATGCTTGCAGGCCATAAACGTGGACAATGAACAATATGTAGGGGAGATAACTGGAAAAGCTGTTTGTAGATAGAGAATCGATTAGTTCCACTATCATACCAGAATAATTGACACGGGGATGCAGATAGTGTTAAACAAGCTGCGACTGGCTGCTTGCCACAATGATAGTTCAGTCATTATCAGACCTCGTTCATCTGCTCTAGATAATCCTACGATTATTCACGATTGTGTAACATTAAGGAAGCGTATAAGCAGAATTCCTTAGAAACGAATACGAAGAGTCATGCTGTGCACGTATCCAACGGAATTAACAGATAATTCCAAATCACGTTCCTCCTTTAATAACGAGTCTCTCTCATCGAAAACTTTTCCACCGTGTCTGAATTATTCAACTCGTGAAGATACATCGAGTCGGTTAACGTGCATTATTCATCGATTAGCAAAGGGTTGCAGATTATCGACTCGTATAAGAATCTGTTTTAATAGAAAATAACTTGGCAGGCTTTCTAAAACTTGAGACTCGGGGATTAATAGCGAAATCCTTCTTAATATTCCATAAACGCGAGTTCCATTTCGCACTCTCTCTCTCTCTCTCTCTCTCTACTTTACTCTGTCTATTGCTTAATATTAAGCACAGCTGCGATACTCGTCGAGGCGATGATAACGAGCACTGAAATTATTGCGAGTAATCGGCGACGAAAATTGTTTCCCTCTCGCATACAATTAACCGCGTGAAACATTCCCTCCTGAGACGCTCCGAATCGATAAGAATTCGTCGTCCTAAATAAGTTCAGGTACAGTGAATTTCAATTACAATCTTGCTAGACAAAGTGGAATAGTGTTATAACGTCCTTGTTTCAGGTCCTGATTGGTCAACTGTTTGATACAAAGCGTGGAGTATATCCCCAAGTATCCCTGAGAATTCCGCTTACCAATAAGTTTTTCGGACCCGATGATTAGGGCACGTGTGAATAGAATTTATTTTTAAGTAGCCAATCGGGTTAATAACGTTTCTAGGAAGAATCGTATGCACGAGCAATCTCATTAAAGGAACCAATTGTTCTCGGCTGGTATTCAGAGTGAACGCATTGAACCGCTGAGACTGGCAACGGTATACAGTTTTACCCGTCAATTCCTTCGACTTTGCACGGTGAAAATGAATGGGAGGACGTCAACCGCGTTGGCAAAACTAAATTATCGTCCACGAATGGAAAACCGATTTTTAAGCCTTTGGAAAATTCTACGGGCGCGTCGTCATTGTCCGTCGGGCTTTCAATACACGCGTGGACCAACGATCGATCACGTTGTCCGGCATTCTCCTCTTTACAGAAGCGTACGCATTACTATAATTTCGTTATAACTTTGCAAATTAGAAATCTCGAATGCCAGTCGGAATGAAGTCGCTATCTGAGGAACGCTGTGACACGAACGTAACGAGTCGTTCGACTGTGCGAGCGCATGAAAGTTTCGGAGCAAATTTATGGCTGATATAGTTCCTCCTTCCAGCTCTGTCAACAATTCGACGATATAACAAAGTTCTCTTTGAGGAACAGGAATCATTGATAAATTTAAAACCGTCCCTCTGCCAGTCTCGGTTTAATATATAAAAGGATTTCAATGCGAAAAACTCGATCAAAGAGACATTATTTCGACTCGTCGTTTCGACGTAGAATGCAGAAATAAATTAATAAAATCGAGTCGATAAACTTGGTATCCAATAAATTTCGAGTGGTCGAGGACTTGGCATGGCCAGACTGCGAGTAATAATCGAACGCCGATAGACGATTGGCGTTGGATTGAAAAAAAAAGTTGGATACTTGAACCAGGCGATATTATGCCCGATACCAGGTTTATGGTTTACCGTGCATTCCATGGGGAAATCATCCGGGAAATTGCACAACGGAGCCCAATGGCAAAGCTGCTATCAGCCGGAGGATTTGTTACGTGGTTAATTAATCTCCCTCAGACGTTCAACGAGGATTACCGAGATCGATGATTAATATTATCCTTGCATATCCTCCTCATTGGAAACTCGCTACATCAAATACGAGTCACGCTCTTGACAAACTATTTACAATTCGTCAGGTTCGTTGCAATTCTCTTAAATCTCATATAATCTTATTTCCAGTTTTGCATTGAGTTTAATTCAGTCGCTGATCCACCGCAATGCGAGGTCCAGTTCTACGTAGCTGCAAGACGGGTTGCCTTGCAACAGGCGTTACATTCACAAGATGCATAGTTTCTCGATATCTCAGTGATAGTAAAATTAAATTGGAAGCTCGTTTGAACTTCTTCTGTCTCAGTTTGGTCCTCTGGGTTGCTCTTACGCACATACAATATGGATTAGGTATAAAATGAATCGGTTTCAACAGGGAATTAATATCACGTTCCTGAATATTTCCAATTGAAATGAAATTAGTTTTACATATGCTAGGATGCGATTCACGTACGAACGGTAATGCATTCAATAAATAATAACAAGGATGCCTTGTTAAAATCCTGAACAGGGTTTGTTCAATTGAAGGAAGAATCGTCTCCTCAGAATTATTTCAACATTACACGTCTTGAATATCCGAAAATCTGAGTAGAATTCCTTCGGAATCATTTAGGAGACGTCATTATCTGTAATTGATAAGACCGTCTTACAGAAGGTTTAATCGATCCTGCATAGAGGAAAAAATGTGGAGGAACGTCGGCTCAGCAAGTAGGAAGTTCTTTAGAAAGACTTTCAAAGGCCCTCGCCTTGCATGGATATCGTCGCATACAAATGTGTGTGCAATGTCCCCACACAGCGTCGGCATTATCCGTCCGGGTCTCTCGTGTCCGTAGCCAGATAAATACAATGGGGGTACGGCGTTGAGTCAACACCCCGCTGGTTATCTGGACGAGAGGGAAATGGCCGTGAAGAAAGCACTCGAGCTTTCCGGCAGTCATAGAATTACCCACGGATTCTCCCGGGGTCACGTTCCCAAATTTTCTACACGTTTTCGATAATTAAAATCATGAAATCGATTGCCGTTTCTGATTAAAATTTGGTGGTTGAAAAAATAGTTGATACCTCGTTAACACGTTAGTTCAGTAGAACTATTTTACTGGGAACAAGTTTTAAACGTTGAAAACTTTCGTCGATACATTCTAATGAGCTTCATTATCGTCTGCCTAGGAACCTAGCTGAATATCGGTGTTGGTTCTCCGCAATATCCTGTAATTGCGAGAAAAAAAAAAGTTTCAGATTAATTAAAGTGGCGAAGAGTAATGAAAAACTTGCAATTTTCTATGAGGGAGCGAATGCGTTTAGTAGATAACGAATATTATACTGACGGGGGCCGTCTTTGTTGCAGGATGCCGGAACGACGGGATTCCAGTTGCACCGGTTAAAATGAATCGCCGGGAGGACCCGCTGTTGCGGCAGCATCGCAACCGCTTGCTGCAATTAGCCGAGGCGACGAACATCAAGCCTGGCCGTGGCAGCGGGAAAAGGCGAGGCCAGAGGCAATCAAACGCTTTCGGACCCAGGTCAGTCTTTAATTAATCATACAATCATCCACTCGAATTATCCTCGTCGACGTTTGTCAGGTTTACATGAAGTTATGGCAGAGATTGGAAAAATCAAACGGAAGGACATTTGAACAGAGAGGAGGTAGTAGAGCTGAGCAAAAGGTTAAACGACGCATCACAGTTATTTTTCTCTCGGCATTATTCGTATCGATTATAAACCCCCGGGTCTGTCGTCGACGTTTTTATTACCCTCGGACGTTTCTCTCCTCCTCCTCCTCTCCTTGGTTTAATCGTTTTTGACGGATGGAGAGAGCGTCCCCGGGATGAAAATATCACCGGGGCACGGGAAACTATCCGCGGCTTTCAGTCGGCTTGCATAATTAACCCTTTTAAGCCGATATTACACGTGTCTCGACGTCGCATTCACCCGCGCGTTACACTCATCCCTCTTTGTCCCTCTGTCTCCTTTGTCCGACCCTCCTTGTTTCCAGCTCTTTCACCGTCCGCCCCCTTTTTTTTTTTTTTTAACGTACCGACGACGACGAAATTCCTTTCACGGATCCCGTAGGGACTGCGTACACACGCCGTCTTCGCCAATTCTTACCCCGGCTTTTCATCGGTTTCGTATTGCCAAATCCGCGGAGAGATGAAACGCTGTGTTACTTGGATCAACGCAGAGTCGTCGAAAGCCTCGAAAGGAAGACAGATTCTCCGTCGCGAGATAAACCTTTTTTAGGGACGACGTCGGGTGTTCTCTTTAGGGCGCGTGCCACCAGGCATCGGTAGTCGATACGTTGTAACGTTTCTGTTGGGAACCTGCCGAGATAAGATCGTTTTCCAGACCTGTTCACAGAACTTCTGGTAGTTGCTCTTATCAGAGAACAGTTGCCTTCTGGTCTAACGCGACTGAATGACTGAATATTGTAGATTTTTTTATGGAAGCATTTTAAAAAGTTATCTAAGTTGGTCTATTTTTTCGATTTGTTTCAGTAATGGAGGACCGAGTCGCGTGACCCTGCAGGATATCGTGAGAAGCGATCCTGGATACACGCCAAACATCGAGCATTTAGTGTTTCCGGAGCGCAAGAGCAGCAATCCGAATTTGGCCAAAGCGGCCGACGAACAACAGCAGAATAAATCTAAACCGAACACGACCAGCTCGGGCAGGTCCAGGCTCGCTGAAGTGTTCTCCAGGCATTACTCCAGGGCCTCCCAGGACTCCACTTCCAGGAAGAATCATCTAAACGTACGTGTTCGTTCTGTAGACGAATTGAATCTGAAGAATTAAGAATGAAAATTGCATTCTTCATATTCAGTTTGACCCAGATTTCTATAATCTGTACGAGGTCATTCGGATGTTTCCCCCGTTTGGTAAACAGGCGATGATCGCCGAAAGGAGAGGCTCGAGTATAAGTAATAAAATACACGAGCCAAATTAGTCTGTGACTCGTTATCAGAGGCGCCAATTTCGGTGGCAATTAATCCTGAAAGAATCTCGTCCGACAAAGCGATAGGAGAACGTTTTTGCCGCTCGTTCGATGGTAGAGACGGGTTTGTAACGAAAATAAAAATACTTTCTCATCGAAGTTGCGTAGCCAGTCACTCTCGACCGTATTTGGAAGTAGAAGCGGCTTCGGTTTAGCTCGTCTCGTGTCACGAGTCGCGTCACGGCATTGCCAGAATGCTTTTATGCAATCTCCAGGACCTGATTTCCAAACGTGTCCCACAGATATTCTAGTTTTCATTTCTCCCATTTTATATTTCAATCTACAGAAATAAAGTGCGATGCTCTTCGAGTCTATCAAGAATTTGTATTTATACTTAATTTAATTTTCATTAATTCTCATTGTTTGAAATATGAATTTGTGATTGTGATTGCAGAGCACGTCTCTGGACTCCGGGTCGTCTTCCCATCAGGCTCAGACGGGGAGCGGACCGACGCCGGCGACGAGGAGTCGTCGATGGCTGTCGCAGAGCTCGCAGTCGTCGAGTAGGCAACATTCAGCCGAGGACGGTGTCCGTGGGGGCAACGTGGGCGTCCTAGGGCCCGTTTCGACCTCGTCCTCCAGCCAGGCCCCTGCTCCCGCCCTGCCGCCGCGCAGAGTCAGTCCAGCCGCGGATTCTGCCGACGTTTCAAACACAGCCGGCCGCGACAGGTACGCGAACGTTCTTCTTTCTTATATCGTTCAGTCGAAATCGTCAGTGAAGTGACTTTCGTCTATCAGTAAACTAAATGAATATTATGATTTTTTAACAGTAGGAGACACGTCGATTTTTATTGCGTTTTATAAATTGACAATGTTATCAGTGAACATGATAGATTATGGTTCACTATTCCAACCGAGCCACGAGTGGCAAATAGTTTATCCGACGGGTAATTGGAGCGAGCCTAGTTAATCTTGGTATTAATATTTCGACCGTGGTTTGAAAAGTAGAAAACAATACAGATGGTCGGGAATCCTTTGTGGCGGAAATGATGAATATGATAGTCACCCGATGAAAGTCCGGGTAACCGCCGCGGGTCACCGGAGGAACGTGTTAATTTTTTACGTGGGCCACGGGTTCATTGTCCCCTCGAGTGTTTTATTCGTCGGGCCAAAAAAGGAGCTCTTGCCAAGCGAATGGGTGTCGCCGTATCTAAAAGGTTTATTCGTGAATACAGTTTCACAGTTTAATTAATCATCACGATTAATCGAACGCGTCAGCAGCAGAGTAAACTATTTTAATAATTAATTTCTAATTGCAAATTATAATAGAATTTTTGGTAAGACGTGATTGTTTGATATTTGAACAAGTGAGTGCGAGTTGAATACCAAGAGAGCAGAGATTCTGTGGACAATGTCGGTTAAGAGGTAAATATAATTAATTCAGGACCATTCTGGGACAGAAATGTCTTTAGGTGTTTTATTATAATTCTCACGCCTGAAGAGATACAATTATTTAATTTACTTATTTTTACTAATACAATTATTAAGCCTTTTAATAGTTTTCCATTAGAATTTAGGAAATGGGTCTCTGAGAGGCTTGCCAACAATTCCATTTAGCTCCTTATTTTATGAATGATCAGTGCTCGTCTTCGCCCCGACAGCGTTTAGCCTCATTAATGATAAACGGTTCAAGTGTCACGTCGCATCCTGAAATCCGTTTGCTAAAATACTAGACAACCAAAATTTTCTTCTGCATATCAAATAGCGTGGAATACGTGGATTTAAATCCTCTGTTCTATTCTAGTATTCTTGTTAATCTCAACCAGTAAAGACTGTCTTAATTATAATAATTAATAATTGTTTGATTCACGTTTGATAATCGTCAGAATGTTTAATCTTTGAAATACCGAAGGTTTATATTTGCGGAGCAGGTTGTTGCCCGCTTTTCTTCCCAGTCCTCGAGTCGAGTACAATCCGCTGGTATAAATATTCATCGCTCACTACGGTGGCTGGATATAGAGAGATAGGACCAGATAAAGATGTCACGAGGGAGATAGAAAACGAGGACGTTGCATCCATCGTGAATGTCTACAGACTCGCGTGTAATCCGGCATAAATGAAATGCATTTCATCTATGCCGGAAATAAACTTTGAGTTGATACACGCTTGTCGAAATTAGGGATGAAACATGACCGCGACCAATTTCTTTCTTTTTATCACTTGTCAAAGACACAAAAGGTAGTGGTAGTTTATGTAAAGGGTGGGTCGTTGCAGGGGTCAGAACGTGTCGATACTGCATTTACGCAGCACGTCGGACCCGTGGGAGGTCGGCTCGCAAGGTTCCTCGTACAGCGTTGGCAGCAATAAAAGTCAAAGTGGCAAAGCAAAGTCCGCCGGTAGCGTGCGTGGCTCCTACACCCGTGGCACTTCGATACCATCCTTGAAACGTCACGACCCGTCGACGTCGGCCACTTCCAGTTTAAAGCAGCATCGACAAGAGACCCATGGACCGGTGAGTGCAACGTTTTATACCAAACTAGAGGCTGCGTTTTTATTCAGAATTTATAACCCGGTTGAAAGAACGATTCTTCCTATAAATATAATCAGTCAAAAATGATTTACTATCACGTTGCTTTATTCCTATCATATACGTGGTATTGTTTTGCTTTCAAAGCACCTCCGGAACTTTTCTCGATTCCTTTGTTTAAATTTCGATACACCCCGCCGGCGAACTCTTTGAAAGTGAAAATAAGCGACGATAGTTTGAAGTACCGACGGATGTCCAGGTGGCTCGACGCCGAGAATCATCGAACTCGTACCTGTCGGGGACCAGCGGCACCTCCGGCGAGCTGTTCATCACCGGCGACTGCAGCAGAGAATTGTCACCAGTGCGATGGTGCGACAGAGAAGTGGACGGAGTGTATCTGGGTCGATCAGGCTGGGTCCAAGTGCAGCAACGGTCGCTCGACGAGAATCGTCGCGCCAACTACGAGAGTAGTTTAACCACTGGAACATTGCCGTTGCCGCGGAGAACGATGGTGAAGCTGGCCGATTACCATTGCAACAGCGAGCCGGGGAAATGTCCGGAAGAATTCCTCAGGTTGGACAGTCAGAGGCCGGACTATCTCGCGTTGCAGGATTACGAGTCCGTCGCGAGCAGCACGTGCACCTCGCCTCACAGCATCCCAGAGTCTTACTCCCCGCCGTCGATCACGCCGATCATTTCACCACCGCCGGCTTTCCAAGACGTAATCGGCAAGAATCCATCCGCGAAAGTCGGACGAAGTAACTACGGCAAAGCTCCGTTCCTGCCGAGATCCAACGCCATAGTAGACAGCGACATAATCAGTCCGCCTCCCTCGCCGCCGCATCAATTAAACTGGAGCTCCTTACCGTCTTCCTCGAGGAAGTCCAACGCGCCGTCGAGAAGGAGACAAAACAGTAATCAGCAGCAACAGCAAACGCAACAACAACAACAACAACAGCAGCAGCAACAATACAGAATGGCGCAAGCTAAATCGTTGGAGGATCAGTCTTCTTCAAGGAGGTCGCAGTTCATCCAACGTTACTTAGAATCCTCCAGCTCGTCGTCGTCCTCGGTCGGTTTTCGAAGTTTGGACAGTTGCGTGACGAGATCAACGATGCCTAGACTGGCGGAGAACACGGATTCATCGGTGGAAGGATACGACGACGGTGACGACGAAGACGACGTTCCTAGCTCGTCTCTGAATCTGAGCCTCGTGTCTTCATCGATAATAGCGTTGAACTCGTCGAACGAATCGATCCGAGCGAACGGCGAGCGGATCTCGCCGAACAGAACTCGGCATCATAGAAGTCAACAGGGATTGAGGAGATCGCCGGGATCCTCGGAATCCGGTAAGCTGTCGTTCAACTCGCCCTCGTCGTCCTCCTCGTCGTCGAGCAGCGCTGACAGGCAAGGGAGATCGCCCACTCCGAATCCGTTCCGACGTACAAACGCCGCTAGACAGCATCAGAGTGCGAGAACCACGCAAGTGTCACCGGATTCTCACCAGTCGAGAGTGAGAAGATCCAGGAGCCTTCAGTTACCGGAGAAGAGATCGCCGGGCGCCGCGGCGCCCAACAGAGACTCTAACGAGCCCCACCGAGTGGTCGTCAAAATTTCCACCGACAGAGGAAACGACAGGAAGCGACTCCAAAATAGAAAAGCGCAGTCGACGGAGGTCGCGTTGAACGAGGAACTCCTCCGCGAGACCGAGGCGGTCACCGAGTTCCTCTACGGGACGAGGAGCCGCGCCGCGGCTAGAAGTCTGATCTCCAGTCGTTTCGAGCGTCGCGAGGAGAATCAAGAACAGAGGCAAAGGAACAATCCGAACACGTACGACGTTTACTTCATCTCGTCGAAGCAGCAGCAGCAGTCTGGCAAGACTCAACAGCAATCCCAACAACAATCTCAACAGCAGCAGCAATCTAGGAGACCGAAGACGTTGCAGAGGGGCGCCACGACTCCCAACACGAATCCCTCTACCTCGAATCAGAATTTTTGCATCAGCCCCGACACGAAGCTCCGTTGCAACAGCAGCACTTGCGATTTCTGGCCGCACTGTTCCCAAAGGGACACTCTGTACTCCCCGAATCAGGCTCCCACCGTATTTATGAAACTGTCCCAGAGCTATCCGGCTCATCAGCGGCTCCCGCAGGACTCCAACAGAGGAAGCGCCAGCTCGTCTCCGGCGTCGTTAGAGCGGATGGACGATCGTGAGCTCCGTGAGAATTCCCGGAAGAGTCGACCGCGCGAGGCGAACAATTCCAAGTACCAAGAGAGGCAACCGAAGAGCGTCCTAAAACAGCCGAACCGCTGGTCGCCCATGGAGTCGAACGGTAATTCCAACGAGAAACAGCATCGGTTTTATCAGAAGCCGGAGTTCGCCGGTAGTTTCGAGGGCTGCGAGAATAAAGACAGAAAAATCTCCCCGGTCCAAGGGAAGGTTAAATCTCCCAGTGGACAGGTCGTCTCTCCGTCTACCACTTCCTCCTCGTCGAGCGATATCTGGGTCACCACTTCCGACCGGACCGTCACTAAAAGTCCAAGGAACGTGAAGAGTTCCGGTGCTTCTACTCCCATGGAAGACGCCGTGATCGGCTCGTTGAAGACGCTCATCGAACCACCCAAGGACGGCATGCTCTCCAGGCCTGGAAGCGCTCCCACCAGGGGAGAAGACACCCTCACCGCAGACGCTTCTCTAGATCCTCATCAGCGGTCCCTGTCCCTGCCGAAGTCGTTCCTGACTCACAACACCGAAGGGTGAGTCACGATTATCCTTTCTCATATTTTAATTGTTTAAAACTGACCCATGTCTCCAGTTTAATCGAAGCCTTTTATTTGAACTGGAAACATTTAAATTGCACGCGGTTACCTGGAGATTCTGTTCCGATCGAAACCACGCCGGCGACTTTATTCTGAAACTAACAGATGGCCTTCCACAGCGTTTTCTCACCTGTTACCGAGATATACAGGTGCTCGTAGATCAATTCTCTTTTCACTCGAATGGAATGCATTATTGGGAACATTGCTCTGAAAAACTGAGGCGAAGAGGAAATTGTTTGAGAATAGGTTTAAGTTGAAGATCGTGGGAACAAGATCATCAGTTAGGATACCACAAATTGGGTGAAACGAACCCAACTCAGATTCCTTCTGATACGCATTAATTAGGAACTTGGTAATTACTTGCACTGGGAAAACGTGAAAGAAAATAGAGAGAGGAATATTCAGGTTTGAATTCTTAAATTAACGTGTTCGTTTATGGTAATTATTCAGTTTTTACTAATGCCAATTTCCAGAGGGTATGTCCAACTATCAATTATATGATAATTAATGAACGTTTGCATTTAAGAATGCAAAATGAAATAATAGGAAAACGTGGGATTATTCTTATTGATAAGCTTCACTATCTATCAATTATTCCGTTCGATTTATCCCTTGAATCAAGGACAAAAGCTGTTAAATCGACAATCAATTTGCAATCGGATGATCGAAAGAATCGGTTTGGATTTGCTAGCGTAAGTGAATTGAGGAATTTGCACCTGCAACTTGCCGCCGATGAAATTACACGTGTTCGCCTGCCGACGGTGCAGAAGATCGACTAACGTTCCCTGAATTCGTATTTCAATCCCGTTGTTAAAACCAGACACCGCCGACTCCTGCAAAAAAATGGCAATCTTGCAATTTAGGAAAAGTCTCCTTTTATGATGATTTTTTAAAATTCTGTGCAGCAGAATAGGAAAAAATGAAACAATAATAATTAATTTAGATAAAATTAGGATAATTAGAGTCTGAAATGCAAAGAGTTTAGAAGTTGGCGACGTTCTCACCTGTGCGCAATAATAAATCGAATTAATTTCGGAACGAAACGAACTGGAAAAGGTCCTAACGGTAGTCAGAACGTAACACCGTTTTAAAGTGACGTTTAATTATCGTCTCCGTAATTTTAATCGCGATCTGAATCTCGCAATGTTCCAAATTAATTAATGGAACCGCGCTCGCCGATAATTCATACGGTTTATAGTTAAACTCGGTTACAAATCACAGTTGATAAACGCCAGCCTTTGTTTATACGTTTATTTATCGCCGGCATTCGTTTAGAGAAAACCACAGAGCGACTCGCGAGGCGGCTTCTTTCACGCCGTGCAGTTCTGCATTAATTAGATTCGCGTCGAGTGTTAAAATTTTTATACTCTTAAGAAAACAATATTTATTAACGAACGTTTGTACGATCCTTCGATGGTTCGCGGAATTGAAAATTAATCACGCGTTTTACTCTCTCATGTTCATTGTTAGAAATTTATGGAGTATAAAAAAACGTGTACCGAAGGAACTCTCATTCGATTAGAATTATCGTCATTCTTCGAACTATTTCCAATGCCATTAGACGCAATTAGCGATGATTCTTGGTCGAAGTTTTAACCCACGTTGCTCCGTTCTGTTTCGTCAATTATTCATTTCCCGGGCGTTGTCCCCGGCGAAACTTGGCGAGAATTATCTATTCCGGGAACTTTCATTAATGTTTGGAAAAATATTACCTCGCGTATTATACGTCGTCTCCGCAATTTACGCAGCAAATTTCCCCGGCTCTTATCGGTGCTCCGTTAATTAATGCGTTCGCTAAATAAAGTTACACTCTTTCTCATAATACGTCTAGGATTAGGCAATAAATGAAAGGATTTGACGCAATTATTATTGTTCTAACGCGAATTAAATATTATTCAGATTTATTCTGGACAAAAGTCGCGTGTAATTCTCGTTCATGGCTAAAGTTGACAGTATGAAATTTCCATTCTGGCTCTGTTATTTCCTTCTACCTCGCGTCGACTCAGCAGTTTCTTTAGACTTATGGGGCTTTCAACTTTTCAGTAAAATGTCTGACGTATTTTCAACTCGTCGCATTCGTTCTACGACAGAATCGCTTATGCGAACTCCCTGTTTCATAAAATTGCAATCATTTTTAATATCAATCATGCTTTAAGGATGTACAGTGTTAGTTTTTGTTTTTTCTCTCTGGCTCCGGAAGAGCAATTAGTACAGTTTAACGCAGACCATGCCTGGCATAAATAAGCCTAACTCCTACGCTGGTCGCATAATCAGCTGGATTAATAACGAGAATTCCTCGGGACGAACTCGTAAAATATGCCCAGCTAGAATTACGCGTGTCGAAGAAAATAATTCAGTGAAACCGTTGAATGAACCGTATGAACGTGAATTATCCTCGTACGATTCTGATTTATCGTTTTACCCCTACGGGGGAAAATACAAAAAATAGTCTGGTTGTACGTCACTGACGGGAGTCGATAAAAGATATTTCAGAAGTTCGATACAGGATTCGTGTAGAAGTGAGTTCGATATCAATAAGCCCCACGGTGGAAGTTCAGTAAAAGTAGCCCCGGGCTAGATTCGATAAAGGCGGTCCGTAGATTCCACAAGTCGGAGAAACTTCGATCTCAGATTGCGAAACCAGCAAACTTTACGAGAATAATTTTGTACCAACGATCGATCGTGAATTCATTAAATTCATCCATTGTTCGATCGATTCTAAACGCAATTTTATTTCGCGTCAAATAATTTTCATTTGGTGAAAAAATCCGGTGGGTAAAAGCAGAAGAACGCGAAGAAGCGTCGTGACGTTTTATTATTTTTTTTTTTTCATCGTTTTCCACGGTTAAAAAAGGAGACCAGGAGCACGCGATGTGCCGGTTTTATCTGCGACCTCGTTTCATCTTCACAATTTTTACGAGGGCAACGGTTCCTCAGGATATCTCGTTCCGAAATTCCGCCATCGTTTCAATGGCAAAAATAATTGCATTCGCTGATCGTCGTTAAATATAATTGCGGCTGCTATTATTTTTTACTTACGATCAAACTTTGATTTATTAATGATTTTTAGAGAATGATAATTTTCTCACGTTTCGTCGAAACCTTTGACCCGAGAAATTTGTCCTTATTAATACAATTCTTACGTTTCGATGAGTCATGAAAAGGAGAGAACGGAATGATCGTAAAACGTGACTAGAGAGAAGATCCCAGGGCCACTGATAACAATTGACCACGTTTTCACATCGACTACAGTCTAAACAAACTGTTATCAGGACTCCCGGTCGATTAATCACGTACGTTTCGATAAAATCGTCAGGTTTATGAATCACGGCTCGTAATACGTTCTCTCGTTTCGTTCTTTATCGTGTTCCGATTGTTCGACACTTTATTCAGGACAAACTAATATATAAAAGTCATATTTCATCGATTAGTTTCCATTCACTTATTAATCAGAAGTTTTATTTCAATTAAATTACATTTATTAGTGAAATTATTAATTAGGATGAACATGCAATTTGAGATCGTAGTTCTTCGCTTGGTACCGTTTCCAAAGACTTTGAAAACGGTACCAACCCAGGTCTCACCGCGTGGAGGTGACTACGTTCGAGACCCGGACAGTGGACAATCCCCACTGCCCCCTTCCTTATTAAATTACCACTCTATTATACGGAGCGACTATGGTAAGAGATTTTATACGATTGCGAACAAGACTCTAACTATTGACTCTAACTATGGATTAACTAATGACTCTAATTGGTAACTAAGGTGAGAACAAAATGCCAGATTCCACTCGGGTAGCCAGAGTTCGAGCCGAGCAGGACCCTGCACCCGAATGACCGTACCCCTGCGCAGGAATGCTCTGACCACGGCCACCCCGTCTCACCGCGTAAAGGACCATTCGATCCAGTGCGCCTTACTGCGCGTGTACATGGAACAGGAACACCCCCAGCGCCTTACGGTGCAGGCCACCGAGATACAGGACCACAACTCTTTTCTCCCCCCGGTACTCGAGCGAAATCTGGCTGGTAAACTACTATTCGCGGCGCGGGTATACTAAAACGCGAGCAAAATGGATTGACTGAAACGAGAGAGAGGGATGAAGTTAAATTCGCTCCGTTATAGAGTGGAATTTAGGAAGGCATACTGCACACTAGTACCGGTACCCGCACACGCATACTCATACTCATACCGCACACGCATACTGGGATGGGATGGGAAAAGGGGTAACTCGACCGGCGCTCACACCGATCGAGTGACCCGAGGAGCGCGGGGACCCTGTTTATATACACTCTCGGCAATCAACGGATTGGGAGAAATGACGTTTGCGCAAAATGATTGGCCGATTCTTAGCTCCTGATTTGCATATTCGTTTCCTCCCGCATTTATCGATAATCGGGCAGGATTTTTTGGGTCATTCCAAAGGGAATGACCACTTGACCACTGACTTTATCTACCCACCCCTAGGATTGGTCATTCGGTCATCTGGTCAAGGATCGCGAAATAAAAATTCTAAGATTCGTTTCTATTAATTTATTAATCAGAATTATTAATTTTTACAATGTACATAGATTCGTGTATATAATTATAATCAGTATACATAGATGAATTAAAATATTAGAATCTCTTGATGGAACGATGATAGAAATGCATCTGAATGCACGCAGTCATGAAACAATGACCGGGTCTTTAGAGGATTGAAACGAATCGCTTTATCCCATCCATTAATCGAAAGGATGTTCGTTTTCAATCAGGGGCGATCAGTCGAGTATAGAACGGCTCAGGATTTTTCTGTCCGAACAAATAAATGTTTCCCCGCGATTTACTCCGAAAGAGATCACTCTTAAGTCTGCGAAGCTCCTCCATTCGTGAGGCGTTCGAGCGAATCGAGGAATTCCCCAAACCGTACGAACCCTTTTACGCTCCACTCCGCTCGGGCT